ATGTAACTTGAAAGATCTGGAGGTTCAAGTAGAACCCATGAGAGGCCTCTGACGTTCCATGCATGGCTGCTGGATAATTGCCAAGTAGGAGAGGGGAGATGGCGGCATTATGACCCCACATGGGAATGGCAGTTTCTAGAGAAGTAGCAGACAAACAGTCATATTTCTCTCTCTCTCCTCTCTCTCTCTCTCTCTCTCTCTCTCTCTCTCTCTCTCTCTCCAAGTAAGAACTTTAACAAATGAAAAAGAAAAAAAATTCCACAAAGCAAAGGTACCAAAGTCCATCTACAATTCCACACTTTTCTTACTTTTATTAAACATACTACCTGAGCTAACGTGGGTAAAAACAGAATACTTCTTTCAACTCAGCTCTCATCTTTATCCCTTGAGTCAAAAAGCACTGCCTGAAGCAGAAACCAGAAACGTGGCAGCGTCCGTATTCCAGAAACTTTACAAGGAACTCAAGTCCCTTTTATCTCCTTTCTTCTACAGCCAAGAATTCACCTTCCCCTAGGAAAAGCACTGTCTCTTTCCCTGAGTCGTTTACAGTCCAGAAGATTCCAGCAGAAAGAAGGAGAGGAGTCCCCAGACACTGTCTTGTCCCACAATCTCTCCTTTGAAGGGCTGAAAAGGTGGTTTGGGGCAGTAGGTTGCAAGTGGTTGCACTGTATAAACTTTAATGATCTCAGGACCTGCCTCCCTCTCCAGAACAGGGGCCTGGCAAAGCTACCTTTGTCACAATTCTTGGCATAAAAGAATGCTCAGGGTATGTTTCTTGAATGAGCAAATGAATGAATGAGTGAATGAGTGACTGATTTATGAATAAGAGTCTGTAGGGAGACCCCATTATTATATTTTTCCCAGCAGAAATTTTCCAGCTATTACATTAATTAGGACTAATATTCTCAGTTATTTTGGGGACTGCTTGAAATTTGCTGCTAATTTAAATAAAATGGCTACGTTTACTCATTAACTAATTAGCATGCTTTCCATCAGCTTCCTCTCACCAATTTGGTGAGTTACGCCCTTCTCTTACCCAGGGCCTTCCCTGAGATCTGGGTATATCACAACGATATCAGAGAGAACTTTTTAAACAAAATTTAAGCAGAATTTCTCAAAGGGTTTAGACACAGATGAGAACTCTGCCCCACTTTCTAGCCCAAGGTCCCTAATGTCTTTGGGCCCTGTGGTGGGCCATGTGACAAGGTGCTCTAAAAAAAAAATTCCTATCACTAGACCAATTTATTCTTCAGGGGAAATGAAACTTTCTAAAATATGAGGATTTCCTGAAAGACAAGCTATCATATATTCAATGAGTAAAACTGAAGGAGAAACTGGAAGTCAAAATATAGGCATCCTTCCTAGTCCTGTCTTTGCCAGGAACTGGGTGGTGTGACCTCAGGCAGGTCAGTTCACATCCCCAGATGCCATTATTGTGTGCTCTTACTTGTCAGAGGTGGACTTGATTTAGAAAATACTTAAAGTCATGTGCAGAGACCAGGCTTCTTGCGCCTGCAGGAACCCATAACTTCCCACATTCTCTGCTGTTAAGCATGGCCATGTGATGAGCTCTGTGAGAGGTCGTAGGAAGCACTTCTCGGCCAGGGCATAAAAGCCAGGTTTCCAGTCACATTCTTCTCATCGTGGAGTGCTGTGCATTGAACTGTGTACCTCCAAATTTTCTATGTGGAAGTCCTAACCCACCAACTTCAACTGTGATCTTACAGTGGGGCCTTGACTTATGAGTGTCCCGACTAACGAGTTTTTTGAGATACCAGCTGTCTGTATCTCTGCCGATTTTTTGCATTGAGTTGATAGAGTAATTTGAGTTAACGAGCTCCTTAACGAGCTCGGTCTCAGAACGAATTAAACTCGTAAGTCAAGGCCCCACTGTATTTGGAAACAGGGTTGTTGCAGATGTCATTAGTTAAGGCGAGGTCATACTGGTGTAGGGTAAGCCCCTAATCAGCGTGACTGGCATCCTTATGAAAGGGGGGAATTTGGACATAGACATGCACATAAGGAGAACAGCACCATGTAAGTTGGAGTGATGCTGCCACAAGCCAAGGAACTCCCAGAGAGTGGAACAGAAACTTCCCTTAGTGCCTTTAGAGCAGTGGTTCTCAACCTTCCTAATGCCACGACCCTTTAATACAGTTCCTCATGTTGTGGTGACCCCCAACCATAAAATTATTTTTGTTGCTACTTCATAACTGTAATTTTGCTACTGTTATGAATCATAATGTAAATATCTGATATGCAGGATGCATTTTCATTGTTACAAATTGAACATAATTAAAGCATAGTGATTAATCACAAAAACAATATGTAATTATATGTGTTTTCCGATGGTCTTAGGTGACCCCTGTGAAAGGGTTGTTTGACCCCCAAAGGGGTAGCGACCCACAGGTTGAGAACCGCTGCTTTAGAGGGACATGGCCCTAATGACACCTTGATCTTGGACTTCTGGCCTCTGGCACCGTGAGACAATACATTTCTGTTGTTCAAGCCACGCAGTCTGTGGTCCTTTGCTACAAATGTTCTAGGAAATAATACAGGGGGTGGAGGAACTCTGGCCAGAACACACAGCCCATCTCCAGGATGACCCAGACCTCTGGCTTTCCCAGCTCACTAGGCAGGCCAGACTCAACAAATTCCTGTCGCAGCAGAGTCCCTGTACCTCCCTGGGAAGTGTGTCTGATCTGAGGTTGGTTTTAAGCCTCCTTACCTCTGGGCACTGACAGCTGTGCACCTCGGCTGTCGGCCAGGTGGAGAGGGCAATAGGACCCAGTGTTCCCTGTGAGGCCCAGTTACATGAGGCTGCTGTGGCTTTGAGGAAGGGGGAGGGGGACCAAGCCTTTGAGACTTGCTATAGCTCACATCAAGACGCTGATTTACAAAGCATCAAGGACAGGCAGCTCCCCATATTCCTCACAAGCATAGGACAACCTCACAGATTCCCAGACCAAGTGAAATTCAGAAGGAAAAAATTCAAGGTCAGCAGATTGTCAGAGATGGTGGAGCTGGGCCTGGAGGTGGCCAGTCCAGCTTCCTGGTTTGCCGACAAGAAGACAGGCCAGATACAAGGAATCAGCAATCCTGGAAATTAAAATCGTTGTTACTTTTGGGTGGAGGTACTGACCAAGAGGAGGAAGGAGGAAGCCCAGTGGGAAGATGAGCTTCATCTGGGTGGTGACTGCACAGTGTCTACAAATATAGAGATTCATTGAGCTGTACACTTTGCAGTTGAGAGTGAAATTATACTTCAATAAGAGAGTAAAACAAAATAAAGACCCAGAGACAGGTGAGGTGACAATAGGAATGGTGCCTGCTCACAACTGAACAGCTCCATGGTCCCATCTTATAGATTCGAACAAGTCCAACAGCCTTCCTTCATCCAGTCTCACTGTCTCTAGTTCAAACTGGCAGTGTCTCTGCTTATATAACCTCACCTCTATCTCTGGCTTCTGCTGCTGCAATGGCTGATTAAGTCCATGAGTCCCACCCATGATCTCTTAATCAAATGGCTGTTCAGTCATACTTTCAGTGTTCTCTTCAGAACAAGTTTTCTCCTTCCCTTCTCCTTCTCCTTCTCCTTCTCCTTCTCCTTCTCCTTCTCCTTCTCCTTCTCCTTCTCCTTCTCCTTCTCCTTCTCCTTCTCCTTCTCCTTCTCCTTCTCCTTCTCCTTCTCCTTCTCCTTCTCCTTCTCCTTCTCCTTCTCCTTCTCCTTCTCCTTCTCCTTCTCCTTCTCCTTCTCCTTCTCCTTCTCCTTCTCCTTCTCCTTCTCTTCTCCTTCTCCTTTTGAAATATTGATAGGCTGAGAATTTTCCAAATCTTCAAGTTAAAGTTAAATGATGTCATAAAGGTAGAGCCCTGATCTGATAGGGCTCACTCGTTCTCTCTCTCCTTGCCATGTGTGGACATACTGAGAAGGTGACCATCTGCATGCCAGAAAGAGAGTTTCTGTATGCTATGTTACATGTTGATAGATATAAGGTTTGCATAAAAATAGCCACCCATTATAAACGTCACACCATTGTAGTAATGAAGAATGAGCTGCCATATTGCGTGGTGTGGGCACAGTGTGACATGCTGACCTGGGACTGACCAGTGATATCACAGCAGCTGAACAACAAAACAGAAGATAACCATGGTGGAGATAACCATGGACAATTGTGGGGAAGTCCCACTACATTACATTGAGTGACACATCATTATATCCTTTGGTTATGTATTAAGGAAGGTACAACTCTTTTAAATACTAACTTGTAATTACACAAATATACATATCTTCTATACTAAGATATCTTTTCTTAAATCATTGTGCACTTCTGGAAGATATGTAAACGTAGAAAATGTCAAGTAGGAACAGTTAGCCTATGGAGCTCTCCATCAATGATTATTCATTGCACTTTGTTGAATAAACCATTTCTTTTGCCTGTGTCCTTGACATCTTCTCTGGGTAGCTGAAGCCATGAATGGGGAACTTTTCAGGGATAACTTGTTTTCCTGGTAGCTGCTCTTCCCTCTCCACCAGAAGAATGTCCTAAGTGCTAGAAGGGGTCTTATGGCTATACATTTTAGCCCCAGCTGTAATCTACTAAAGGACACAGCTGGAGGCAATGTAATGGCCCTCTGAAGGGACTCTCAGGTGCCAGGAGTTTGGGGGAGTCCTGGGTTTCCTCCTGCTAGGGCAGGGCATGGCTGCCAGTACCAGGACTGTGATTTACCCATCTCTCCCAGGGGAGGCAGGTGCCCCTCGGGAAAGGTATCACCTTCTTCATTCTCCATAACAGAAGACCCTGGCATCCCAGCATCTGCTCCCTGCCTCCTTCCAGGTAAGGCAGGCACGACTCTCACTTTTTGCTCATCGGGACACCTCTTAATGAAAAGCCCCAAGTCCCGTGGTCCAGGATACCCAAGACAGAGTTTAACTATCCTTCCCCCCAGACACACGAGCACACCCCAGTGCAGTGCGGGGAGCTCTCAAGAGCACTCACCTGGGGCGTCATTCCGTGGCAGATATACACGATGGGAACGTTCTCTGTGTCTGGACCCTGATCGAGACACAAATCGGTCTTCAGAGAGTTCTGTAGCTGAACACCAGGGCAGGGGCGGCCACAACCAAAGAGAAAGGAACAGAGAAACAAATACATTAAATCAGGAGAAACAAGCTTTCCGCTGACACAGGCTCCATTTCCATAATTAGCCCAAAGCCCCTTGAATACTATGGAAACCAACAAGCACTTTTGCTTTGCACAAAGGTGCTGAGGTTAAGACCGGCCCCTTTGTCTCACAGTGCCAGAGGCCAGAAGTCCAAGCATTCACATTAAGCATTCACATGTTAAAGAGCAAGCTCTGTTCTGGGGAGCTGAGTGGTCTAGGTAAAAAGAAAAGATCCACCTGCAAGTACACATTCAAGAGGGTGCTAGGCTGTTCCCCTCCATCTACCCAAAAGGAGCACCATGGCCTTCAGAGGTCTCTGGATAGGCCTCTGTTTTTACTCTTCAGGGTTGGGGGAAGTGGGCAACATGCTAGCTGTTTTGGGGACCTGGGACCAGGCCCTCACTGCCCAGCAGATCCAGCAGTAATTTGACCAGGCCCCAGTGGAGGCCCAGTTGATGAGAGTTCTCCACGGTGGGGGATTTGGCAGGTGAATAAGAGAGAAGAGGGCCAGGTGGGAGCAGGAGAAGAGAGGTCGCTCTTATCCTCACCTACAAGCACAAGACAATCAACAGGACAAATGTGGTGGCCACTAGGATTATAAGGCCACTTAGACTGGGCGTGGGGGATCTGTTGGGCCATGTGCAAGCAGAGAAATCCAGCTGTGATCAAGGAGGAGATGAAGCATGAGGCAGACAGAATTAGAGACAGATCATCCTGCTACTGTTGTGGTTTCATGGCTTCCCAGCTCGAGTGCCCGCATCCAGCTGTTCTTCAGCTCCTGTGTCCATAAGAGAGTGTGTGGCATCTTTACCCACCTTAACCTGAGCTAGTTTAAATAGCTTTTCTCAGCAACCTAAGCAGTCTGTTTAGAACAGGAGGCTGGAAATTGACATCCAGGGGGAGACCAGGGCAATGGACCACAGGTGGGTCATCTATTGGGGAAGGCCAGCGGCAGGCAGTGGCTGAGCTTTGGTAGTCCTGACAGGTTGTGGCAGGAGTTCAATGACCCTGAGTCAGGGATGTGAAATAGGACAGAACCAGAGGTGCATGTGTGGTCTATGCATACCCTGTTCTCGACAGGGACAAGGAACAGAGTCAAATTATTTTTTCTTGAGCTTCCTTTCTTTACTGGGTGACAGCAGCTCAATCTCAAACTCGTGGTTTGGAGATTCTGAAGAAATATGGACATGTGCCAGCTCCCTAGGCAGGGCCCCAGGAGTGTCTGTGCAGCAGATCCTCACGATAAACCAACTACTTGGCTGGCCTGTGCGGGAGGAGCATAGCAAACACTCTGGACTTCTCCCGCAGCCCAGGGACTGGGGGGTGTCACACCTGAAGCCCAGCACTGGAACCATTAGCAAGACCTGCTAACTGCGCCTACAAAGAGGAAGGTCCAGAGACTCTTGATGTCAGACTTGTTCTTCCTGGGATCTTAACGTCAGCCTCTGAGTGAGGGGGTGGGTGATGCCCTTGATAAAGTCCACGTTGGCTATGCCATCACTCTGCCATTAGCAGGTGGCCTGCTGACACAGTTGGAGAGACAGACTGGGATGGAATCCTGGCTCCAGCTGTGTGGCCTTGGATAATGCAACATAACTCCTGGGAAACCAATTTTTATGACTGCATCTACGCGCTGTGTGCTACATGCATTATCCCACCTAATCCTCAAAACAAGGAAGTGTGGACCAGTCAGAAGCTCTGCCTCACCTCTCTGTCTGCAATGCTACTCCCACTGTGTGGATGCCCTGCTTTGGTCTTCTCTTTGCCTGACTAAATCCTCTTCTTCCTTTGGTTCTCAGCTTCTCTGTCACTCTGGGAGCCTTTCCTAACCCAGGCTGTGTGCAAGGCTGTGGCTCCATGTTTCCCCAGCTCCTCCACCTGTCTGACCGGAGTCTTCCCACCGGCCAGCTCTGGTACACAGTAGACAGTAAATACATGTACAGTGAATGAATGATTGAAATGTACAAGTAAATGGCATTTCTAAATGAATGGCATTATAGTTGGACAAGTGACAGAGCTGGTGTCTGTCATCTCTGAAGTCCAAGGGCTTTCCATTAGGTAAATGGCGACAATCCTGAGACTGTGAAAGATGCCCCAGGAAACGATCTAAGGTTTTGCATATTGTGGAGTGATTAAGTAGCAAAACCCACATTCAGAAGCTGGGCATGTCTGTTTCCAGGTGCTGCTCCATCTCTACTGTCAGCACCAGAGATGGAATTAATCCAAAGCCACTCTCTCTTCCAGGGGAGCTCAATGATCCAGGGGAAACCCAGGCCCATACAACAGGTCTACAGCCCCTTCAGCCTGCAGGAATCATTAATGGGACCGATTAGTGGATTAATGGCCTGGTTTATATAGACTTGATACTGGCCCAACTGACAGTCCCAGGGGCTTATTTGACCTGAGCAAGGTAGTTTAGGCATGGGCTGGAGGGAAAAAGGAATGAGAAACTCTACGTCTGAAAAAACACTTGGCCCCTCCACTTCAGAATAAAAATAATCACCAGGAAGAGCATTTCAGCCCCAGCAAATCCTTTTGTTCTTGTGGCTGCATCTTGCCTCACCCATCTTCACCCTATTGCCCTCACTGAAGGTTCATTATGCTCCTTGACAAGCAAGTGTATCTTTGCTCATGTCAGAGCCCAGCCTCTGGAGGAGGCAGGAGTGGAGGGAGGCTGGCAGGGTCCTAAACAGTGTCTGGCAGATGAGCATGCAGGGGTCAGAAACCTCCGTCAGCCCTAAGAATTGGGTGTGGCATCGAGAGGGCTCCATGGTCAACCTGCTGTATGTGTTTGTAAGAGAGGACCCTTTTGCTTGGAAGACAAGAATGCCCCTGGCCAAGACCCAGAACGGCACACATCTCCCCTGTTACTGCTTTCCCTGCATCTTTGGCTGAGTTTGGCTACTACTGTTTGGTCTGGCTCACAGAGGTTTTGGGCTAATCGTTTCTCTGAAGTTCTATTTGCCTAACTGTCTTTTTCGGACGGGGTCCAACAATAGCCAAGCAGCACATGCAACTTACTATGGGCAGTGTGGGAGCACCAGTAGCAACTGTGTCCTCAGAATAGTTCTGGGGAGGGAGGCAGGGCTAATGGGCACCTCATAGTCCAATGTGTTTCCATGGTGATGACAGGATCTGGAGTCTCAGGTAACTGCTGGACAGCACCTGCTGAGTTTTCTGACATTGGAATTATAACAGCCTGAGAGTGGAGAGGCAAGAGGCCCGTGGGCGGTTCTCTGAGGACATGCCAACCATGCCCATGGCAACACTTGTGAGAGGATCTGTCTTCCTCTTACAGGCTGGTCCCCTAGACAACAGAGACCTTGCAGGAGGTGGGAAGAGGAATTCCTGGGATCTCAGCTCTGTTTCTGTAAGAATCCAAGGATGTTAGATTGGGAGGCCCACAGAGCACACTGAGGCCAATTCTTCCACTAGGATTCTTCCCCTTCCAGGCGCATGCTGTGCCCATTATGTTTCTGCTGAGGCAGCGCTTGAACTTAGTTCTGACAACAGGTCATCAAAGGGAGAGGCCTTAGTTTACCTTCAACTTTCCATCCTGGGATATCAGAGAGGTCTGAGGGTACACTCTTCAAAGGGAGGAATTGAGGTGATATAGGCAGCTGATGTTTTAGACTCAGAGTTATTGATTACCTGTATAAATATGGGCAAGTCACTTTGCCTCTCTGTTTCCTCATCTTAACACAAGGTGAGGTAGGTAGCACTTAACTATCAGTAGAAAAACTTTGTGTTTATTCAGTCAACAAAAATCAGGTGAGATAGCCCAAAATCAATCAGGTATCACTTAAAATACCATAAGAATTTTATGGTCCTGGGGATATTGGAAGAATAGTATTTTAAACTTAGACAGAAAATACATTTATATATCTTATACTTTCTTTTACCCCTTACTGTATGAAAAAATTGAGGCCCATAGACATTAAGACACTTGCCTAGGAAGTGTGCTGGTCAAGACTGGAACTAGGTCTGCCTGTGCTCTGCCCCTCCATCTTGCCGCCTCCAACAGGGGGACCAATCAATGAGCAGTACTAAAATATCCCTCAAAATACAGCAAACTCAAAGTTATATTTCCCAGAACTCCTTTCAGGAGGCTTTGTGTGTGAGTGGAGTCATGGAGGCACCCACTCCTGGGGAACAACGGGTGTTTGTCATGTGGCCTTGGGATCTTAACCTAACTGCAGGTTTTTATTTTATCAAGTGGAATATGCATGTTTGGACCAGAGCTGAATTGCATAGGCCTCGCAGAAGCGACTAAGTGCCTCTTCTAAGGGACTGGGGAGGTTTGGGCTAGGAAAGCAAAGGCTGCCTTGCACACAACTCTAGAAACCAGCATCTCTCTGGTCTTGTTCTCTGTCTGTGACTGAATGGAACCCCAAGGGGCTGGCTCCTTACCACCCCGTAGGCGATGATGTCTGAGTACATCCTCATCTCTGGGTACACGCTGACCAGGTACCACCGGAAGGTCTTGCACTGCAGCTGCTTCCTCAGAGCCTTCCTTGCAGTAATGTCCCCGATGTCGATTCCTGAGTCCTACACGGGGTGCAAACACAGAGATGCAGCCACCACCAGGGCACGCTTCTCCCCAGCTCCCCCACCAGGATTCCTGGAGACTGTCTAATGAAGGGAACTCAACTCAAACTTCCCAACAGGTACCTAACCCATAGGCATCCCCACCTGGACTATGAAACGAGGTCTCAACATTGATGGGGACTGTCATCAAAGGCCTCTGGAAATAACGATAGCAAATCCTCACATTTTAAACTAAAACAACAACAACAAAAACCTGTAGTCTGGCTGTAGGTGAAAAAAGTGGGAGGAATATAGTCTGAAAAGGGTTTTTCCTACCTCAAGAGAGACCTGAGAGATTGAGTTGTGGGGGGAGAGGGAGGTGGAAGGAAAAGGATTAAAGATGGGATAGTGCTAATTCTAATACTCTTCCTAATGGTCATCACAATGAGGCTGGTATAACAATGTGCTAGGCTCTGTTCTATATGAATCAGACATATATGTTTATACTTATTTATTAGATTTCTTTATATTTATGCATATTGTTCTATTTAAATCCATGAAGCAGCACTATCTAATCCTCATTTTACAGACAAGGAGTTAAGACAAAGTGACCTCTTTAGTGACTTGCTGAAGTCCCACCATTAATAAATGGAGCTGTGAGTTGCGTACTTTTAACCTTTCCCCGTGAATCTGCGAGGGGCTGCCCTTCTGCCTCCTGAGGCCAAGTCCCAGTGAGAGAAGCAGACTCTCTCCTTAAGCTGGGGGTCTTAGCATAGACAGTACCTGTGTCCCACACTTCCCAGGTAGGTCAGAAAGGTGGTCCCTGAGCCACCATGGTGCAGCAGCAAGGAGTGGTATTGGCGGCATGAATGTGTCCTTGAGGGAGGGGGAGAGAGAAGCCCCCATGTTTCTTGTGGTCATAGCACCAAGTGGAGAGAGAGCACAGAGTGTCCCTGAGCCCCACACCAGCTGTTGAATAGGGCACAGAGTCGGCTGAAACAGAGCTGATGCCATAGCAGAGAATGGAGACTTGGTGGCATCTCAGAGATGGCACCATGGAGCCAGGAACCTTGGCATCTCATTACACAGCAGCCCAGAGTGGAGATGGAGGAGGATGGGGACCACAGCTCTCCCATCGGCACTGTGGCTCACATGGTGGATGTGTGAATGCTGGGTCTAGATCAGCTCAGGGGATCAGAAACTGGGGTTGGAATGACAGTGAAACTGACAGAGTTTAAGTCTGACATGTCTGAGAAAAATCACAAAGATGGCTGCTGCATGTGTCTGAACATGATCCTAACAAGCTTTTGACATCAGACAATGGTGGGGGTGGGGGTGGGGGTGGTGGTCCAGTGAAAACAAAATGTAAATATAAAAGAATTCCATTTATTTTTGCCCAACAGAATGCAGGTAACATAAAAATGTGAACCTGCTGCAGCCTGAGGGTTTGAGACCCAGTGTCCTAGGGAGGAATTTCAGCGAAGATCTGTCTTTTGAGTACTTCTCGGTGGGTGACTGCTCTATAATTTGTCTAGTCTCCTCTCCTGACGGCTACATGGCCTCTCTGCTGGACCCTGGCTCCCTGTGGTCAGGAGACATGTTCGGCTTATCTCGGTGCCCCTGGCCTAGACATCACCTGAACTACACTAATGAGCTGGAGTGGAGACAGTGGTTGTGAAGTGAACACAGCAACTGGCACTAAATGTAACCCCACCCCAAGGCGCCTGTGAAGTACTGACCCTTTAAACTTGTCTGCACTTTATCATTATATCGCAAAGCTATTTACCTGAATCCAGGCCTCTCCCCTTCCTGCTATAATTGCCTTTATATGATGGAAAATGAACACTATGCCTCAGCTTTTACCAGGAGCCACTAGAAGAACTTGTGTTCCCCTGGGAAAACTTTCTTTCTATACTCAGGACCTGGGGACAGTTCGTCTCCCTCCTTCTGATGGAATCGAAGGTGGGAGAGATGTAACCGGTCAGGGGCCATCAGTACTCTGACTTCTAAGATACTCAAGAATCAGAGCTTTCTGTGGCTTATATTTCTGGATGTCACGACCCTTTCCTCTTCCTGTTTATTAATCGACTTAAGCTTTTCCGTTTTAATGGTTCAGCACTTCTGCACCGTGTGTTTCCTGTAAATTGTGTGAAACTCTTTCAGAGCAGGGGGCAGAAATTGAGAAATAAGCAAACTTTCTCAGAGAAGTTCACCTTGGTCCTTGTTATTAGAAAAACAATGAATGTATCTTTCCTCCCTTGCTGAATACTTACTTGGTGGAATGGATTGAAGAGTGTCTCTCCACCCCAAATTTTTGTCTATCTGAACCTCCAAATGTGATCTGATTTGGAAATAGGGTCTTTGTAGATTAGAGACCTTGAGATGAAATCATTCTGGATTTAGGGTGAGCCTAAATTTTTAAAAATATATATTTGTATTGATTTCAAAGAGGAAGGGAAAGGGAGAGAGAAATAGAAACACCAATGATGAGAGGGGATCATTGACTGGCTGCCTCCTGCACACCCCCTACTGGGGATCGTGCCTGCAACCCAGGCATGTGCCCTTGACCGGAATCAAACCTAGGATTCCACAGGTTGACGCTTAATCCACTGAGCCAAACCGGCCAGGGCTGAGCCTAAATCTTTATAAGAGAAAGGAGAGGGAGGTTTGGACACAGAGACAGAGGTAGAGGTTTGAGTGATGTATCTATAAGCCAAGGAGCACCAGGCAAGGAAGGGTCCTCCCCTCGAGCCTTTGAAGGGAGCACGGCCCTGCCCGCACTTCGATTTTGGGCTTCCGACCTTCAGACTGTGAGAGGATAAATTACTGTTGTTCTAAGTCACTCTGTTGGGAGTAACTTGTTTTGGAAGCCCTAGGAAGCTAATACACTTAGCCACACACAAAGCTGTCCAGTATTCCTGCCCGTGTGTGCAGCCACACACAATTCCTTGCAGCCAAAGCTAAGGAAGGGCCGTCGCCCGAGCACCATGGCGAGTCACCCCTGGCACTCAGCAGGGGCCAGTCTAGAGTCCCCGAACCCCATGTAAGAAAATCTGGATGCTTTGCTGCACACTGACTTTCTGTTTATTGATAAGAAAACTGATTTTAAATTCAAGTATAAGGAAGCGAGAGCTGGAGGCTCCTCTAGCCTTCTAAATGCTTGAGACTGGACGTGGTAAGGGAGCAGGTGAGAGTCATTTCTGTTCAGTGCACAGCCTGGGAAGATTCAGCATAAAAAGCAGCAGGAGAGGATGAGTGCCCAGCAGGGGCATTTTGAAGCTGGGATGCAAAGGCAGAAGGCATAAGCAATAACAGCAACAAGAGGCAACATTCCTTCCATTTGCCAGGCTCTGATCAGTGTCTTTATATATGTTAACTTATTTAATTCCCAAGACAGAAACTAGGCATGGTTGAAGGGTTCCAGCTCCACATTTGCAGCTGGGATGCCGTAGAGGAAAGGTTAAGTAAATAGAAAACAGATGTGCTTGTGACTGAGGAAAAGGTACAGTATTGGGACGTCACCACATTAAGGGCAGCTAGGCAAACATGGAGGCCATGCAGCATCTATACTTTCTCTTCTTTGTTTTTTATTCAACTCACCTTTTCTGAGTGCCTAGTAGGTGTTAGGTGCTGCCCTAACCACTGTGTATTCAAATAGGAAGAAGTCACAGCCTGCCAGAAAGGAGAGTCTGGAAGATCCAGACACATTCACAGACTACACACAGTGTGAGCATGGAGGGAAGAGAGAGTGCTAAGGGACAACAGATGAAAGGCTCTTAGTCCGTCTCATGGTGTGGGAAGGCCGGGATGGCAGGGAAAGGAAGTGAGCACTCAAGGAAGGCTGCCTGGAGTAGGTGATGCTAAAGATGAGTTTGGAATCTGACTGCCCCAAACCAGCACTTGGAGAGCTTTTTATAGATTCTGGCACCTACACGGTAACCATCAGAATCTCTGAGGATGGGACCCAGAATCGGTGTTTTTTCTAAAGTTCTCCAAGTGATTCTCCAAGTTGTTCTGCAGATGTGCTTTTAGGACCAAGGGAGGAAGGGATTATGCCCAGGACCAGCAGAATCATCTGTTAATAAACATTAGCAAGGTTTTACTGAGCTCTGACCATGTGACCCGCCTTGTGCTAGGCATGTGACACAAATGTGAAAAACACAATCTGTCCTCAGGAAGCTCATGGTCTAGGGCAGTGGTTCTCAGCCTAGGTGGACATTAGAATCCCCGAGTTTTCCAAAAAAAGGATTTCTGGTCCCTTTCCAAACCAACTAAGTCATAATCTCTGGGGCCGAAGCCCAAGTAATTTTCAAGTCCAGCCAGATCTGAGAGCCACTGGTCTATGAGAGAGAGAGACCTTTATATAACAGAACAATCTTTTATAGGGTGATGATGCAATGACAGAGACATCCATGCAAAAAGGAGTCTTCTCCCCGGCTGGCACTGAGTCTGAAAGGATGGAGGGGAGTCAGTAAGGGTGGAAGCTGGGGAAGGGGTTTTGAGTAGGAAATTCCAAGCAGAGAGGACAAAACTGGAAAACACACAGAGGTGAGAAACAGCATGGAATGGACAGGGAGCTACGGACAGTTCCCATAGTCCAGGCAATCTGCAGACTCCAAAACAGGGTGGGTGGGCAAAGGAGAAATCTTGAATCTGTGTCAAACACTGGAGAATTATTTAACAATTTTAGGTAGGGCATAACATTGTCACTGAGAGGATTTTAAGACATAACTTGGGGTAGTGTGGAGAGTAGATTTGAGAGGGGTAAGACTTGAACCAGGGAATCAAGATGGAAACTGTTGTGGAGGATGAGACAGGCCTGAACTCCTACATGAGAAGAGGCAGGAGGGAGAGGACGGCTTGGTGATGAACTGGGAATGGGGTTTGAGAAAGAGGAGGATTAAAATAAGATACTCAGTTTCAAGCTCCTATGTCTGGGCAGACAGTGGTATCACGAGCTGAGGTAAAGAATAAGAACTGGAGCTGATTTGGGGGTGGGGAGCTGTTCTCAGTTTTGGTCAGGTTCAGTCTGGAGCACCATGGGAACATCCAGGAGAAGCTGTCAGATGTAAGTGTGAAACTAACAGTAGAAGTCAGGGCTCGGGATATCAATCAGAAGTTGTCCATAGATAGGTGGGTACAAAACCGAAGAATAGGTAGGATTACCCAGAGGGATGGTGCATATGAGAGGAGGGGGCAAAGGATGGATCCCTGGGGACACGTACGCATCCAGTGGAAGTAAGAGGAGCCCAAAAGGAATTAGGAGCAAGTGGAGAGAGATGAAGACATTCTGAGGTGTGGGATCATGGCCCCAAGGGAGCACAGAGTTACAAGGGAAGGTGGGATCCTGTAGGTTAAAAACTAAAATGTCCATGATGACTGTCTAAAGCAGTTTCGATGGAGTGCTAGGATGTGACTTGAGAAGTGAACGGGAAGTGAACAGGTATTGACTCTGCAGAAGTTTGAAAAGAGCTGTAAGAGGGAGTTTGGACATAAAAGGGAACAAGGGGGTCCAGAGACAGATTTGTAGGAAGCACACTGACCCCCTTTCTTCTCTGCCTAAGTCTCTATCCTGGACACTCCCACGTCTCATCTGCCTTTCTGGGATTCACTACCACTGCCTACCCACCCCCTTCGCTTGGTTTGAGCTACAACCCTGAGGAGTCACAGACAGACACTGCATTTCATCGTTTTCCATTATTTTTAACTCAGTTCTCATTGAATTTGCTATGGTTTCAATATCTGGCAGCTGCAGTTGGGGGAGATTTGTAGCTTGGGGGTACAGAGAGAAAGGGGGCAAGAGTATGAACAGGACTCCAGTCCTTTAGCAGAGCCCTTAGCAACGCCTCACTGGAGAGCTCTTTGGAGTTTCCAAGTGTTCTTAACGTCTTTCTATTAGAGGACACCCACAGCAGGGCTCAGCATGCTGCCCAGAATACTGTGATCCAACGCCCACAGCCCCAGATGGGTCCCGAAGGTACCACCGTTTCCCTAGAAACACGCCTACTGTCAGGGATGCAATCTTGGGATCCATAGGGTTGGGCATACTCTGACTGGTACTCGTTGGCTTCTCATTCTTCCTCCCAAATTCTGCAATCTCACTGGTGGTGGGAGTATGCAACCCAACTCAAGTCCCTCCCCCATGTTGGTGACAGTGGTGGGTGGGGGTGGGAGGCTGCCTAAAAGCTTGTATCCATAACCCAACCTACTTTCTCAGTCACTCAGCCAATAGCTTATGAGAGAAATCAGGAAACAGAGCCTTCACATGGAAACTTTAAGCAAAAATCAATCATTGCCCTGTTAGGAAGAGAGAGCTGAGGTATTATAAAGGACTCCCAAGGGAAGCCATGGCCTTGGGAGGAGAGGAAGAGGTCATGTAGTCAACAGCTCAGTCACACATAGAATGCAACATAAGCAATGATCTCCAGGCAGACAGGCTGCTAAGCAGGTTGGGATCCTGTGGCTGGCATCTGTTGGGTTCTTCCAACTTAGCAGTTCAAGGTCATTTCCATATGACACATGACAAGGCTGAATAAATTGACTAGAGAATCATTTCTTTCTTTCTTGTACTTCTTAAGTGTAGGTGGCTAGAGGGATAGAGGATAGTGGCAGGCAATGATGGGGTTCTGTGAAGGTTAGAAGCAGCCTAAAAAATGTCCAGAATAGTTCCCTTTTCCTCCTGAGGGTCCCTGTGGGAGTGTATCCCATCTCCATCTATGTGGCTCAATAAATCCCCAAGGCATATGGACATTCCTTATTTCTTTGATCAAAGATTTGATGGAGAACCTTGAATCTAAATCTACAGGGAGGTCAAGGTGCATTTTGTGATTTTGGTAATGGCTGGCATTTTTTTTTAGATCAGGACCATGAAGCACTGAATGTTAGGGAAGCTGAGAACCTGAGAACATCAAGTATTCTTGGAGTTACCTGGTCAAATTCTCTCATTTAAAATGAGGACACTAAGGTCTGGAGAGAAGTCCTCCATCAAGCATTCTAACCAGGGATGGGGATAAGTCATGGCACAGCACTGCATCATCAGCCCCCTTTCTTCAACATGTAGTATATTTTGGGGCTAAGAGTCCACTCTAGCACAGTAAACAAGACTAATTGACCCATGGGAAGAGGATTTAGTCCTATGTTTGTTTTTTGTTTGTTTGTTTTTTTCCCACCAAGCCCCAAGAAACCCATCCCCATGGGAGCTCCCTACCTCTTGGGGTATGTTCCATGCCATGTACACATGGCTTTTAAATTCATCCATCCAGACTTCGGCCACCCTGAGGGCGTTTCTGCGAACGTGGGCAGTGAGGTCCTCAGTGTAGGGCTTGTGGGCTCGCTCAATGTGGGCAATCCGAGAGCAGGGCAGGACCTCCACGCTCCCACCACACTGCCACACCTGCAGAAGACACAGAGCCACTCATCAGTGCCATGACATAAATCTGTGCCTCTAACCCAGGCCACAGGTGACTACTCAATGTAAGCACAGACGAAGCCAGCTCTCTTCACCTTGTCTCGCCAGACCACTGTCTGCAAAAGCAGCGAGCTGTACCTTATTTCTACTCCTACCCAAGGAGATTATTGGGCCATTAATTCATGTCTTGTTTCTTCTTGCTGTGGGTTTATGTGCAAATAATTAATACACCTTCTCTCTCCATCCCATTCACTCCTCCAAAGAAAAGACATGGCATTTTGTGACCAAAGATCTGAGTTCTCCTTGCCCCAAAGGAGAACCTAACAAAACCCTGAGAATGGTCTCTGTAGCAGTGCTGACATGGAGGGACCAGCAGGGACTGCCAGCAGAGATGTCATCTTTGCAGGGACTGCATGGACCTGGACAAGGATTAGTGGTTACCATAGGGAGAGAGCAGACACCCTTCTCCTATTCCATCTTTCCTGAGTCCTGAATTCTGATAGAACCCAAGAGAGAGGGAGCTGAAAAAAAGCCCATATTAAACTTTTCAATGACCTTGGTGAGTAGGAGCTTGAACTGGATGCACTTCGACTTTGAAAAAATTTTTTAAATATATTTTATTGATTTTTTTTTACAGAGAGAAAGGGAGAGGGATAGAGAGTTAGAAACATTGATGAGAGAGAAACATCAATGAGTTGCCTCCTGCACACCCTGCACTGGGGATGTGCCCACAACCAAGGTACATGCCCTTGACCGGAACCAACCTGGGACCCCCGCCCTAGTCTACAGGCTGACGCTCTATCCACTGAGCCAAACCGGTCAGGGCGAAAAAAATGTTTAAATGACCTTGCTTTCTGAGCATTAAGGGACAGTGTTTTGGAGCTGTTGCCACAATCATTCCAGCCACTCTGAACTTGCAATGGTCCAGAATGTGCACAAGCTTTTGTGCCTTGAGGCTTCTGTCCATTCTGTTTGTAATTTTAGAATGCTCTCCCCACTTTTTCTCCAGCTGAAAAATATCATCTCTCAAGACCTTGGTCACATGACCCCTCTGTTGTGGGGGTCTTTGCTCAATTCTTGAGGCAGAGCCAATTGCTTCCTCCTCTGGCCCTCAAAGCTCTTGATATCACAACTTACCTGCTGATAGGCCAGCCTCCCTCCCTCTCTCTGAGTTCCTAGAGGGCAGAACCCATATCTCATTCATTTCTCATTTCTAGCATTTAAGATAAGGCCTGGTACATAGAGGTGCTTTGTAAGTACTTGTTGAATGAATAAAAGATTTATGCTTAATCAGTCAATCAATCAATCAATCAATCAATCAATGTGAGATGAATCTGAAATGCCTGGTCAGAGCTGATGAATGAGGGAAAGCAATCAAGGTCTCTTGGTGGACAGAAGTGGACACTTGTCAGGTATTGTCAACTAGATGATGTGGTGGATGATGTTTACACTTACAACCTGTGCCCATCAATAACCATATGTCTTCATTTAAAATAAGGTCAGCTTTGGATTTAGCTTAATTTCCCTATGCTAGTTTGAAAGATAATTCATCCTCTTCTATCAATCTATCTCACACCAGTTGGTCCCCCACAGGCTGTTAGAGTTGGAAGGCAATTTATTGATTTACCACTTTCTAAGCTTGTCCTGCACTTGGCATATTATTTAGGGCCAAATGAAGAGGAAATAAACATTCCCACTGAGCATCCACTATGTTCCAGGCCTGGACTCTGCTTGTGGGGAGGCAGTGTAGCATGGTGGTTATGAGTGCATGATCTGGGATCAAATCCTGGCTGTTTCTTACTACCTATATGACCTTGACTAAGTCATTGGTCTCATTGTGGTTCAGTTTCCTTATCTTAGGGATCATAAAAGTACCTCTCTCATGAAACTGTTGAGAAGATTAAAGTTATTATATGCAAATTTTTTAGGAAAATATCTGGCACATAATACTCAATCAATCTCAGTTATTACCATACAAATTATATGACAGACTCTTTAGAATGCCCTGTGAGGTAGTTGTTATTGCCTTTAATTCCAAGTGAAGAGACAGACTAACAGCTGTCCCTTGCCCAAGACCACACAACTGGTACAAAAGGGTCTGAAAGGATGGTTTGGGTCTTCCCATATCACACCAGCTGTGACATGTGTCCCAGGTCCAGCTCCTTCTCTCACTTCCCATCCCCTGCCCCTCCCAAGCCTCTATGGAAACTTCCTGGCATCATCCTCCATGGAGTCCAAACTCCAGTGACTTCCTTTCCTATGCTTTGTCTACCACCCATGAGAGGGTTCTGAGATCAGCCGTGAGTGAGACTTGGGAGTCTCTTATCTCAACCATTGTCAGCAGGAGCCACTCATCACCCAGGACGGGAGAGCACAGGCTTTCTCATCTTTACTTCAGCATCATTAGCCAGGCTCCAGAAGTGGTGGGTAAACACACCCAACACGCATCTTCTGTTCCAACAGCCAGAAGCTGCCGGGAACCCAAAGGCTTTCACCCTCTCCATAGTGAAAGGATCTGACACCCATCAAAGCCAGAGGAGGATACATGCCCCCTCAGGGTGACCGTGCTTTGAAAGTAGTTCCCACACCCAGAGTGGTCCTGTGGATCGGGAGTGCAAGCCTCAGACTGTGCATCTCCATTTCTGTGACCTAGCCATCCCAGGAATTGTGCTCATGTCCAATTCACTTGGCTTAGATTTTCCATGGAAGCCTGTTTATACTGTGAATATGTTATTGACAACACAGAGAGTCAGGGTAATTATTCTTTTTGGAACTGCAGGCTATTACTTGACATATTGCAGCAACAGAGCACGACATGATTCATAACGAAGCTCTTCTATTATGAGGCCTGTTTCTCAAAGAGTCAGTTCCTCATTCACCTAAGAGTGGGTGGTTCTCCTAGTTGTAATCAGAAGGGTGGTGGCTTTTAGCCACACAGTAAAGGGAGTGTGTGAACTCACTGTGGAGCTCTTGATTCTCCCTAACTTTACCCCACTGCCACTGTCCTCTTGCAGCCTAGTCTTGTCTCCTCTGGGCTCTGCAACAGCCTCCAAACAACAGATTCCCTCCTGCCTTCCTCCTCCAGGCTCTTCTCCACACAGCATCCAGAGGAACCTTTGGAAGGTGTAAGCTGGACCAGAGGCCCCCTGCACCACTCCCTCCCCATCACAGCTCCTGTCCACCTCTCCAGCCTCCTGCCCGCTTCCCCACACACTCTATGCTACAGCCATGCTGAGATGCCTTTACCTCCTCTAGAGTGCCAGGGTTTTCTCTCACCTCTGGACTTCTACACATGCAATTACCTGCCCCACCTCTACCCCACTCCCCCTGACATCCTCAGGGTGTCAGTTCAACATCCCTGCCTTATCTTTCCCACTTATAGCACTCTTGCACTTGCTCTTTAATTATCTCCTCCCCTTCCAAAAAATGTTCTTAAGTTCTTCACCAATTGCTACTGTAGACATGTGCTAAGTGGTGCCCAGGACGGATGATGGGTTTCCAGCGGGGGATGGGGGGCTCTGCCTGCTGGGAGCAGCACAAAGTGTCCTAAAGCACAGTGTTGGAGCCACCGGGAACTGGGCTCCAGGGTTCCGCCTCCTCCACCTGCTGCTGTGTCACCTCTGGCAGGTGCCTCCTCCCAGGGGAAGCAGGAGATGAGGTGAGGCTATCTGTTAACCTTGTGCCTGCCTTAGTGTGAGAGCACTGAATGGGGTGAGGCAAGGAGGTGAGGACAGGACATCTGGGTCTATTCTAACCCAGCTGTATGCTGGCTGAGCGGCAAGTTTAGGCTCCCTAACCTCTCGTTGTGAAAAGCATATGACGGTGGTCCTCGCACTGGGCGGTGGGCTTGGGAAGCTCCTGTCATAATGCTGGGAACCCTGTGAACCCTAGTCTGCATCCATTATTATTACTTTAAAACAACCATTATAACTGCTATTTGGCTCCTCCTGTGCATCCTGAACTGCGTCCAGCACGGCCAGGGGGTGAACCAGAGGAGGGGCAGTGAAGGATTAAAGAAGACAGACAAGAGAATATAGTTGGTACCAGGTGGATCCCTGTGCCTGGATGAGGAAATAGTGACATAGCCTGTAAGCCAAAGCTTTATTTTATAGTCAGATCACATAAAGCAAAACAAGGGCAAGATGTTTACAATGTTCTTGCGAGTTTCAAATCTGCTTCTTTCCTGTTGTTGCCATTCTCTAAACTCTATCAAGCTTTGTTTGGGCAGCACTTGCTGCACCCCCGCAGCCCACATCCCTTAGCTACCTAGGACTACAGGGTCACACTATAAGGTCAAGCTTACAACAAAAGCCTTTTGGGCTACAATTGTGCTGGGAGGGCTTTGCCCTCCAAGCTGGGACTTGTATGTGGCTTTGCCACAAGTCAGTCCGAGGCTTGAACCTGTCCAAATGCTGTAGCCGCTCATATTCACAGTTTATACCAGCCGTGGGCAAACTATGGCCTGCGGGCCGGATCCGGCCCGTTTGAAATGAATAAAACTAAAAAAAAAAAAGACCATACCCTTTTATGTAATGATGTTTACTTTGAATTTATATTAGTTCACACAAACACTCCATCCATGCTTTTGTTCCGGCCCTCCGGTCCAATTTAAGAACCCATTGTGGCCCTCGAGTCAAAAAGTTTGCCCACCCCTGGTTTATACTGTGAATATGTTATTGACAACACAGAGAGTCAGGGTAATTATTCTTTTTGGAACTGCAAATGCTGCAGTTTCACATGCACCTTCAGGGAGCAGAGGACTCAACCGTCTGGGTGAAGCTCACCAGACGACAGATGGGCTGCCTTCCACTTTGCTCCCCACAGAGATTGGGAGCACTTGCTAACCCAGGGGCCATCATCACTCTCCTCTCTTCTGTGGAAGGACCTCATCTATGGAGAGGGTGAAAGCCTTTGGGTTCCCGGCAGCTTCTGGCTGTTGGAACAGAAGATGCGTGTTGGGTGTGTTTACCCACCACTTCTGGAGC